CCACCACATAGCTCCCAGGAGAAGAAGTGGGGACCCCGCTTGGTGGCTTGGGAGAACTCAAGCCCCAGGATGTCCAGCAGGAGGTTGGGATTGGCCTTGACCTCCTACCAAAAGGAAAGGGGATAAAAGAGAAGGGATGCCTGCGGGGGTGTGATTGGTGTGAGGACCTGTGGGTGGCGGCAGAGCTATGGGAATAGCCACCCCCCGACCAGTGTACTTTTTGCGGGAGCAGGATGAAGGAATCTCCCATAGAGGATGCTGGTGATTGCCCAAAAGAGGGGAAGAGACTTCCCCGGACAAAAGCCACTGGAAGGGAGCAGAGAAGCTAGGGAAGGACGAAGCTGGCAAATAGGGAACAGCTGCCGGCCTTGTTAGTCAGGGGCTACATAAAGGCTGGCGGGAAGGAAGCCTGGGAGAGGGAAGGGAGGAGACAGGTAGTTAGAGGCCACTCTCCCCTGCTGGCTGCAGAAGCTAGCTGCCCCTGAGGCTGTGATTCTGACACTGTCTGTAGCTAAAAGGTGGTGGGAACCTGTACTGTAAATAAAGAGCACGGGTGATTGCACCAAAGCAGAGGTCTCTGGTTGGTTTGTGGGTACAGAACAGGCAGAAGACAAAGGGGCCCATCTGCTCTATGTTACAATTTGCATATAGCTGTATTAAAACTCATATTGTACGCTTGAGCCCAATTTACCAACCGATCCAGATCACTATGAAGCAGTGACCTATCCTCTTCATTATTTCTTTACCACCCTCACAGCCGCTCAAAGACTGTTATAAACATGTCTGTTAAACAAGAGGAGCGTGGGACTAGAAAGTATGGTCCAAAGTTGGGCCTAACTGGCGATCAAAATAATGAAGAGCTGGGCTATTCTGTCCATCATGCCTTTTGGGATCCTTAAAAAAAGCTTTGGGGGTAAAAGCAGCATCTGACTGGTTGGAAGATGGATGGACAGGAAGGAGTGAACTTCACCATCAGGGCTGCCATCTCCACCCTCTGCTGCGACTACAGGATCCACTGTGACACCATTGGACCTTTACCATCGTTATCCAAAGAGAGGGACCCAGAGGACATCTCCACTTCTACTGTTTACCCCCCTCTCCTTCTAGTTCCTATCTGTAGCCCGGACAGCTCAGATTAATGGCTGGTTCCAAACTACATGTCAAGGATTCTACTGTATTGTACGCTATTCTGTTCTGTCCAGGTTCTTCTATCCCACTCCTCATATTAATATCTGAGTGCCTTCCAGTAATGAAAAAAGCAATGTGATTGTACATCCGGCATGGGTTGTTTGATCTCTCATTCTGTCCTGAGGGGGAGAAGCATTTGCAGCAGAGTGCCCCCAGCTCAAAGTGCAGACATCCTCCATTACAGACTCAGCATAGGCTTGTAGGAATTCATTATGTTTCATCCTGTCTGCACCTGCCTTCATTTTCTGTCAGTGGTGCTTGAGTTTCCACCTCCTCTTCATTTGGAGAAAGGTGTTGTAGTGTGTGGGCAATGGGGAGGCAGCGGCTATTTGGGGACCAACATCTCAATGGTCTAGGCTAGTGTAGAATTATAATGATTCACCAAGTCCTTGACAGCTTGTCCTGTGGGTTGTGTGCTGTTGTCATCTAGCAGGCTTTGGAATTTGTTATAATCTGTGATTCCTTGTGGTTGAATCAGGATCATTGGTCTTTCTTGTTGCCTAGGCCCAGGAAGGTCTCTAACCATTGCCCTAATGTGGTGATGGTCTGTCCAAGGCATTGGCTGTGCTCTGATGTCCTTTATCTTGACATCTAGGCCTAAGAGGAAGTCCAGTGTGCGACCAGCTGTGTGGGTTGGACCAGAGATGACCTATTAAACTACTAGGGAGGCAAAGGAGGAGATGAGTTCTGGGGCATCCATGGCCTTGTTAATATGCATTTTGAAGTTTCCCGGGATGAAAAATCTGGGGTATTTCACCACCATTGCTGACAAGATATCAATGAGTTCCTTTATGAACACTTCACTCTGTTTCAGAGGGGTACCAGTGTTAATCTGTTTCAGCAAAAACAACGAGGAGTCCTGTGGCACCTTAAAGACAAACAAATTTATTTGTGCATAAGCTTTTGTGGGCTAAAACCCACTTCATCAGATCCTTTAGTCTGTGGTTGTCTGTAAATGAGCATAAAATCTGTTAACTTTGACTCTGGTTTCTACTGCCATGTGAATGAATTTGAATAAAGTTGTCTTACCTGAGGCACCTCTCTTGGATTTGATATATGTAGAGACAATGAATGCAGGGCCACCTGCCTTTCTGTCCTGCCTGGGACTGTGATGTACGGCGTGGCTGGGGAGGCTGAGGTGGGCTGGAACAAGACCTGTTTCAGTCCAGTCTCAGTGATGTAGGATACACTGAGTGCTTCATCACTGATAAGGTCGTGTATTGTTCATTAGTGGCAGATCATGCATTGATCAGCATCAGCTTTAGTTTCTGATACACTGTGCTTGTACCAAATCTGGATAACAGTCTCTTTTCTGGGGGTAAACTATTCAGCACCACAAGAGGGCTGCTATAACTGCCCTCCCTCACCCACTCTTCATCTTCCTAGCCACTCATTTGGGCTGAGATGTTGAACTGAACCAAAGGAGCCTTCTGGGGATTTCCCCCCCCCCCCACACACACACACCAAAGATAGTACTTTGTCCCATCTCGACAGTACAAATGTAACCTCTCCCCTCTGGGCCACTGTGGGTTACAAATGATGTTATAACTATCTAGTCTTAGCCAAAGTTCTCTGGCCCAGTTCCACTCCCAGGTGGCTGATTTCCTCAGTGTTCTGTGACTCTGACTTTCTTTTTTAAATGCTTTTTCAGCTCCTTAAGTCCTTGCTGCAGCTTGTCTTCCTTACCAAGTACCAAGCAGGACAGAGCTTTCCTGGTCTCCCAGTTTTTGTGGAAAACTTTCTGATTCATGATAGTCATGTTGCAGGTCACCTCATCAATTCACCTTGGCGACCCAGAGGTAATTGTGTAATGGGGATTTAAGTTCTGCCCAGACTGCTTTGTAACTGCTTTCCCAACCAAGATTCTCTCAGTCCTTTCTGGGAAGCTTCAAGATGTTGCTCTATTCCTTCTGTGAAGTCTGGCACGTTTGTTTTTGGTCTTGTTTTAATTTATTTTATTAAGCCTCCAGCTCTCCAGTTTTAGGTCTTTCTTTAGGTTTTATTTTAATTCCTTTTGCAAAGCTCTGGTTTTAAGTTCTTTTGGACATCTATAACTCTTGTCAGTATGTCTCTTATTTGTTCCATTTTCATTCAAGAGGAATACCAGCTCACAATTTCTCTCCTTGAAAACTGGCTCCTACTCCTGACATCAACGTTACTCCTTTTTAGCCCAAGCCATAGTCAATATTTGAGATGTTGTTTTTTGGGAAAAACTTTTGTACAAGCTAGGTGTGACGCTGTACCCCATAATACTTTATGGGAATATGACATCACTGGAATATGTTTTGTGCTGCCTGTGCCATGTAACATATCTCTGTAAAGGTTATGGTCTACTATGTCTATTCATCCTATTGGTACACATACATCATTTTGTACTTGAGGTTAAGAATATTGGCTGTATACTTGCTTGATTTCTAAGTAAGCTTTGTGAGGCATTTGGTCAGTTTGCTGGAGGGTTCTCTGCACCTTGAGGTCTTTAAACCACGATTTGAGGACTTCAATAACTCAGGCATAGGTTAGGGATTTGTTACAGGAGTGGGTGGGTGAGATTCTGTGGCCTGCATTGTGCAGGAGGTCAGACTAGATGATCATAATGGTCCCTTCTGAGCTTAAAGTCTATGAGTCTATGAATTTGCAAGGTTAAGTACCTGATCAGGAAGCACTTGGGGAACAATGCATCTTGGAATGCTCCAATCCACATGAGAAGTCTTCCTGGAGACATACAAGATACCATGTGGACAATGGCCTCTGCCTGTAAAGACTGAGTCATGCATCGACATGTGACTTGCCCAGGTGACTCCAGAACTCCATCTTGGAGCTGGATTTGTATAGGAGTGAAGAGGGGGGGTCTCCACCCACAAGAGTCTATTTAAACCCATGGGAGACCCCTCCATTTTGTCTTCAGCTGGCTAAAGAGAGCCTCTCCACCCCCCAGGATAATTGGAAGAAACTGGAACCACTTAAATCCTACTTTCTGTATTTAATAAAATCATGTTTTACTTATTAATTAACTCAGAATATGTATTAATACCTGGGGGAGCAAACAACTGTGCATATCTCTCTATCAGTGTTATAGAGGGGGAACAATTTATGAGTTTACCCTGCATAAGCTTTATACAGGGTAAAACGGATTTATTTGGGTTTAGACCCCATTGGGAGTTGGACATCTGAGCGTTAAAAACAGGAACACTTCTGTTAGCTGCTTTTAGGTAAACCTTCAGCTTTGGGGCAAGTAATTCAGACCCTGGGTCTTTGTTGGAGCAGGTGGGAGTGTTTGGCTCAGCAAGACAGGGTGCCGGAGTTCCGAGCTGGCAGGGAAAGCAGGGGGAAGAAGTAGTCTTGGCACATAAGTTGGCAGCTCCCAGGGGGTTTCTGTGATCCAACCCGTCACAGTGGCGTAGTCGGCAGGATCACAGTCAGCAGCTGTGCACAGCTGATTGCTTTGAGATACTGGTAGTGATTTTAAGTGTTTTAAGTGTGGCGGCTGAAGAACAGACAAAGTGGTGACTGGTTTGTTATTTTCTGTTTGCTTATTTCGGGAAAGGGAAGTAGGGACAGAAAAGGAAGCAAAATAAGTAAGAATGAAGATCAGAAGAAGCTAGAACTACACAAGTTGCAAATTGCCCAGAAAGACTGAACACTGGGCGCTGGGAAAGTCTGTTAACTAAGACACCCCTGAGCTGAGTGCACCTCTGTGTCAGTGTCAGTGAACTGCAGACGGGTGTGGCCCAACCTCTGTGTCTGTGCTGAAGCTGACTGAAGTGTCTAACTTCGCAAGATAGGAGTGGAGGGGTGTCTGTTCTGGCAGGAGGGGGTTCTCTGGTATCCCAGTTCATCGAGTGATTGTCTTAAGGGAAGACAAATGGAAATTGATGTACAATTTGCCTGGGAAAAGGCTGCCCTGGAAAAAGAAAAGGCTGCCCACCAGCCTGGACTTACGAGACAAAACAATTAAGACCCAGCAGCATGACCTGGCTGTAATGGAGTGGAAGAGGTGCACAGAGACATGTATCCTGGAGCTGGAAGTTGCGGTCCTGGTGACTGCTGCGGTGGGAACAAACCCCAAGGACTCTAGCTGGAAGCAAACCCAACCTCAGTGAATGGAGGGGGGGAGATTTTGCTGGCCAGTGAAAGGTCTGTCATAGCTGGTAGTTGTGAACCTACAGCTGGATCAGGGTCTCTTTCTCTTTTGGGGGACACAGAAGTGTCTGCCCCATAGGGGAGCCCCAAACTGAATTTTAGGTATTCTGCCTCCGCCATGGTCAGTGTCCAAGTCTATGTCAGTAAGCTCAGGGGAAGGGTGTGATGTTGCAGTCTATATGATTTTATAAAAATTTGATTGAGTGAATATAATGTAACTGGAATATGCTTCATGCAAAAGGTTTCTTGTAAGGTATCATTACAAAGTTTATTATCTACTGAGTGTGATCGTCCTATTTGTATAAATGTATCACTCTTGTATCTGAAACTAGAAATATGAAATATAACTCTGAGGGCCTATTGTAATTATGCAAAGTGTAGGCCATTAATGGTGGTTTGGAATCTTGAGGACTCCCATTAACCAAGACAATTGTCTGCAGATGGGTGTGTTTTACCTGTAAGTCTTCCTGTATATGCGTGTTCTGGCAAGTGGGCAATGAACTCTTTCAGTGACATGTGATCATGTCACCTGAACTGGAATCCATCTTTAACCTGGTGTCTTTCCATTGAGAAGGAGGGGGTGGGAAACCAGAGAGGGACAAAAGGATTCCCGCCTTATGCAAAAGATATATAAAGGAGTGGAACAGAACAAAGGGAGGAGAGGAGCCATCATGAAGAATCCCCTAGCTACCACCTGAGCTGGAACAAGAGCTGTACCGGGGAAAGAATTGTGCCCAGGCTGGAAGGGGTCCAGTCTGAGGGGGGAAAAGAAAAAAAAAAGAAAAAAAAAACTTACTGAAGTGTCTCTGAGGGTGAGATTATCTGTATTCAGTTTGATTAAAATGTGCAAATCTATGTCTATTTTATTTTGCTTGGTGACTTACTTTGTTCTGTCTGTTACTACTTGGAACCACTTAAATCCTACTTTCTGTATTTAATAAAATACTTTTCTACTTATTAATTATCTCAGAGTATGTATTAATACCTAGGGGAGCAAACAACTGTTCATCTCTCTCTATCAGTGTTATAGAGGGTGAACAATTTATGAGTTTACCCTGTATAAGCCTTATACAGGGTAAAACGGATTTATTTGGGTTTAGATCCCACTGGGAGTTGGGCATCTGAGTGTCAAAAACAGGAACACTTCTGTTAACTGCTTTCAGGTAAACCTGCAGCTTTGGGGCAAGTAATTCCAACCCTGGGTCTGTGTTGGAGCAGACGGGAGTGTCTGGCTCAGCAAGACAGGGTGCTGGAGTCCTGAGCTGGCAGGAAAAGCAGGGACAGAGGTAGTCTTGGCACATCAGGTGGCAGCTGCCAAGGGGGGTTCTGTGATCCAACCCGTCACACTAGGGATGGTAACAAAATCCGTCACAATCACAGAGATCCCCTTGGGACTGTCACTTGATGTGCTGAAATTACCTCAGAGCCTGTTTTCCCTGCCAGCATGGGACTCCAGAACCCTGCCTTGTTGAGCCAGACAGGCTAACCTGCTGGAACACAAACCCAGGGTCTGGTCCACGCCCCCAAAGCGTCAGACTTTGTGAAAACAGCTCAGCAGGTTACCTGTCTCCAGCACCCAGACACCCAGTTCCCAATGGGATCCAAACCCCAAATAAATCCGTTTTACTCTGTATAAAGCTTATACAGTGTAAACTCATAAATTGTTCGCCCTCTATATCACTGATAGAGAAATATGCACAGTTGTTTCCTTCCCTCCAGTATTAATCACTTACTCTGGGTTTATTAATAATAAAATCATTTTTGTTTAAGTATTAAAAGTAGGATTTAAGTGGTTTCAAATAATAACAGCCAGAACAAAGTAAGTCACAAAGCAAAATAAAACAAAACATGCAAGTCTAAGCCTAATACATTAAGAAACTGATTACAGGTAATATCTCACCCTCAAAGATGTTCCAATAAGCTTCTTTCACAGACTGGAATCCTTCCTAGTCTGGGCCTAATCCTTTCCCCTGGTGCTGTCTGTTAGTTTCAGCAGACATCTCAGGTGGTAAGCAGGGGTTTTCTCATGACTGGCCCCCCTTGTCCTGCTCCACCCCCTTTTATAGCTTTGGCACAAGGCAGGAATCTTTTGTATGTGCTTGTCCCCACCCCCTCCTCATCAATGGAAATGTACAAGGGTTAAGATGGATTTCATTATCAGGTGACATGGTCACATGTCACTGTAAGACCCCCTAGGGCTGGTCCACACTAAGGCCCCAGTTCGAACTAAGATACGCAACTTCAGCTACGTGAATAACTTACTTACCGCGGGTAGACACGCGGCAGGCAGGCTCCCCCGTCGACTCCGCGTACTCCTCTCGCGGAGCAGGAGTACCGGCGTCGATGGTGAGCACTTCCGGGATCGATTTATCGCGTCTAGACAAGACGTGATAAATCGATCCCAGAAGATCGATTGCTTGCCGCCGAACCAGCCGGTAAGTATAGACGTACCCCTAGTCTCCATTTTTCCTAGGTTGGCCCACATGTACACAGGAAGGCTTGCAGGTAAATAAACCATTTACAACCAATTGTCCTAGTTAATGGGAGCCATCAAGATTCTAAACCACCATTAATGGCCCACACTTTGCATAATTACAATAGGACCACAGAGTTATACTTTATATTTCTAGCTTCAGATACAAGAATGATACGTGCATACACATAGGGGGAATATATTCAGTAGGTTATAACCTTTGTTATGATACTTTACAAGAGACCTTTTGCATAAAGCATATTCCAGTTACACCATATTTCCCCTCATAAGCATATTTCCATAAAACATATGGAGTGCAATGTCACAGGCACCATCTTTGTACAGCACAATGGGGTCCTGGTCTGTAACTAGGACTTTCTAAGCACTATGGTAAAACAAATAATAGCTGCCCAATTTGAACCCATTACTCTTCAGCCCAGGGTGCCCCACTTTCTCTAGGGTATATCATTTCTAGTTTATTTCCTTTTCATAAACTAAGTTACATGACAGTTTAAAAACATGACAAATCAACTCCAAATAAACAACACCGTATGGACCTGCATTACGGTGAATGTATGTAAATTGAGACTGTCAGAGCCAGTTTTTCCCCTTTCTCTTATAGAGATCACAGAGTGTCTTTTTTCCCTTCACACCTCCTAGCTCTGGGACTTACATAAGGGATTTGGGGAGGGGGCAACCTTAATACCACATTTGTTTGTTTTCCAACATTGCAGTTGGGGCATTTAACACTCCCAGTTAGGAAGGGTGCATTGATCATCAAGCCACAATTGTAACTATATATTAAATATGTTTGTCTGGTGACGATCACTTACAGCCAACGTGTAGCGTGGAGCTGAGCCTATCATGCACATTTACTGCCAAGATCAGTTCAAGAAAGTTTCAGTTACCCCCGAACAATATTATCAGTCAGTCTCTGTTATACCTTTTAATCATCGCCTATGGCTACGTCTTCACTACCCGCCGATCCGGCGGGTAGCAATCGGTTTATCGGGGATCGACTTACCGCGTCTCGTGAGGACGCGGTAAAATCGATCCCTGATCGCTCTGCCGTCGACTCCGGAAATCCACCTCGACAAGAGGCGGCAGCGGAGTCGGCGGCAGCGCGGCAGCGGTCGGCTTTCCCCCGTCCTCACCGCCAGGTAAGCCGACCTAAAATACGCAACTTCAGCTATGGTATTCACGTAGCTGAAGTTGCGTATCTTAGGTCGGAACCCCGCTGTAGTGTAGACCTAGCCCAAGTGTGTTCTCATCCCCACGTAGAAATGGGGATCAGAGAGTTTTTGGTATAGCTAGATCCCAAAGAGAAAAATCATTGTCCCTTGTAACGCAAGAACATGTTCAGTGACAATCCTCACTGCTACAAGTCTTTTTTCTGACATTATAGCCAAGTTTGAACCATCCCCCCTTCCCTCCCCTCCCCCCCCCTGCAATGCTTTACCTCTCCCCTTCCAGCTCTGCTCACCGGACATACTGTATCTCCTACAGCTGCAAATCCTTCCGACTTCTACAACAGCCTTCCAGGCTGCTGCTGCTGCTGCTTTACCCGGAGGGTTGGGAGCTCATCTGCTTTCTTCAGCTTACAAAACAGTCTCAGATGCTCTCACACAAATTGCTGGAGTGGCAAAGGGACGAGAGCAAAGCAAAGAATGAGTTCAGTCCCCTTCTCTGTGTGTGTGGGCGTGCGTCCAAATGGGTCAGTAAGTCACCATTAAGGGAAGAACAACCTCGGAGAGTTTTACAGGAACTGAGTTTGTGGAGATCAGCTTGTCAAAGAGCAGTGAGAGGAACATGTGAAAAAATCAAAGTGAAACTAAAGCCCATAGTGCACAGGAGACGCTGACAAGCAGCTCAGCTACAAGTACAGCCATAGTGCAACTGCACTTGAGTCAGGAGAGCCAGTTACAGCTCTGCTGGGGACATGTCTGATTGCAGTGTTTGCAATGTGCAACATAGACAGGGCAGAATTGTCCTTTCTATACAGACTGTAAACACTTTGGAGCAGGGATTGCTTTTTCTGTGCTGTATGTTCTCCAGCCCAATGGGGTCCTGATCTTGGTCAGGGCCCCTGAGACGCACTGTACTGCAAACGATAAATAATAGGGAACAGAATTGTGTACAGACGCTCCCCGACTTGTGTAACTCGAATTTTGCGTAAGTCGGAAATGTATCTCCGATCATTACGTGCAAAAAAAATCCAAACCACTC